ATCCTGGGGGACTTTAACGCTAAACACACTGCGTGGGGTTCCCCCAGGAATACCGTCAAAGGCGAATTAGTAACCGATTGGGCTGGAGCTCACGGTTTAGAGCTTATGAATCGTGGAAATGTGTACACATGTGTCAGGGGCGAGGGTGGGTCTATAGTGGACCTAACGTTCACTACCCCGGCACTGGCACCACGTTTCCACGACTGGAGGGTCATCATAGAGAAATATTCCATGTCAGACCACCGCTACATAAGATTCTGGCTAGCGCCGGAGTCTGGCATGGATATTCCCTCTCCGTTCAGCCTACGTGAACCCCATTTCCCAAGGTGGTCGACTATTAAATTTGATAGGGAGATTGCCGATGAGGCTGCCGTTGTACAGGCCTGGGCCATCCCTTCTGAAATTGGCCCAAGTACTGAAGATGCAGCCAATAGACTGAAAGGTGCTCTCACCGAAATTTGCAATGCATCTATGCCCAAGGTGAGAGAAGTTCCACCTAAAAAATATGTTTATTGGTGGTCCGATGAACTGGGCACGCTTCGGGACAATACCTATAGGGCAAGGAGGGCATTGCTCAGATGTCGTAGGCGGAGACATAGAACACAGGGTGAGGAAGAACAGCTACGGACTGCATATAATGCCACCAAAAAGGCGTTAAAGGCGGCAATTTGCAAAGCAAAATCCGAAGCCTGGACTGAGTTCCTCGAAGAGCTAAACAGGGATCCGTGGGGTAGGCCCTACAAAATGATCCGGAGCAAGTTCAGGAATCAAGCGCCACCCACGGAAACCATGGATCCGGGGTTGTTAAATAGTGTTATTAACACTCTTTTCCCTCCAACCACCCCGGATTTAGCCCCCCGAATGGTGTTCTACGACACGGAGGAACGAGGAAACGAATTCCCCCCAATTGAGGAAGATGAATTCGAAAGTGCAATAGACAGGCTTAAATACAAGAAAAAGGCCCCGGGCCCCGATGGTGTTCCCGGCCGTATTTTCCCCCTGGTCATGGAACATCTCGGGGAATACACCAGGGCCTTGTATAATGCCTGTCTAGACAGAGGAGAGTTTCCCAAGTCATGGAAAGTTGGAAGGTTGTGCCTATTGGCCAAAGAGGGAAGATTGCCTGACACTCCATCGGCATATCGCCCCATTGTGCTGCTTGACGAGGTCGGCAAGGTTTTCGAAAAAATCATTGCCGATCGCGTCACGCAGCACATGAACGCAGAAGGTCCCAACCTTTCCCCGAATCAATACGGGTTCCGAAAGGCCTTGGGCACGGTTGATGCTTTGCTCCAGCTAAAAAGAGTATCAAAGAGGGCAATCAGTAGGGGAGAAATCGTCATTGCAATATCATTAGATATTGCTAATGCCTTCAACTCTCTCCCCTACTGTTGTATAAAAGACGCTTTGAGGTACCACAACCTTCCAATGTACCTCAGAAATATTATAGAGGATTATCTAAGGGATAGATGCGTGCAATATATCAATCATGAGGGTCAGTTGATATCCCACAGAATGGTGAGAGGAGTTCCACAGGGGTCGGTCCTCGGGCCGCTCCTGTGGAACATGGGTTATGACTGGGCCATTCGCGGGGCACTGTTGCCACGGATGAATGTTTTATGCTACGCCGACGACACATTGATTGTCGTGCGTGGCAATGACTTCTCCTCCGCGAATGGTCTGGCCAGAATTGGAGCTGATTTGGTTATCAATAGGATCCGCAAACTGGGCCTTGAGGTCGCTACGACGAAAACTGATGTTATCGCCTTCCACGGCCCCAGACGCGGACCTCCTGCAAACTCGCATATTATCATTGACGGTGTGACGATCCCCTATAAACCGTATATAAAATACTTGGGGCTGTATCTGGACAGCCGTTGGAATTTCCATGAACATTTCCAACGGCTGGCCCCCAGACTTGAAAAAGCAGCGTCGGCACTAGGGAGATTGCTTCCCAATGTGGGAGGACCTGGGGTCCGTTGTCGGAAGTTATTCGCTGGGGTAATTAGATGCATGGCGCTTTATGGCGCCCCTGTCTGGATGGACAAATTAGATTCCACCAACAGGACGCTCTTACGTAGACCCCAGCGAATAATAGCCAACCGAACAATACGTGGTTATCGAACCATCTCGTACGCGGCGGCATGCGCCCTCGCAGGCACTCCTCCGTGGGAGTTGGATGCTCGTATCCTGGCGGACGTCCACTCCACACGTGAGGAAGCTAGAAACAGGGGTGAGCGACCCACCCCGGAGAGCCTTCTCCAGGCCCGTAGGGACGCCGAAGACTGGAGGCTGTCAAAATGGCAAGACCAATTGAACAATGCCGAGTTTGGTGCTCGAACCGTAAGAGCCATTTGCCCGGTTCTAGAGAGTTGGTGTGAGAGGCGGCACGGAGGCCTGTCTTTTCGATTGGTGCAGGTATTGACCGGACATGGGTGTTTCGGTCACTACCTGTACCGCATCAAAAGGGAGACAACTCCGATGTGCCACGAGTGCGGCGCTGCGGATGACACAGCGCAGCACACCCTTGCGGTGTGCAGCGCCTGGCAGCAGCAGCGCAGCATTCTGGAGGCACATATCGGCAGTGATTTGTCCCTGCCCAGCGTGATACGTGCCATGCTGGGCAGCGACAGGGCTTGGAGGGCAGTTGCCTCCTTCTGTGAGGAAGTAATGTCACAAAAGGAGGCTGCAGAGAGGGCACGCGAAGACGCGCGTGGAAATCCACGCCGTCGCAGGGGGGGACGGAGGAGTAGGCGCTATGCGCGCCTACTGCCACCGTAATAAGTGACCAGGGACTCGGGGCCCGCGCCCCTTGGTGTGTATGTGGTGCTCTCCGGGCCGGGGTTGGTTCGCTCCTGCGAGCCCTCCCTTTGGCCCGGTGATCATGCACATGCACACCCTCACACACACTCACAACACTCACTTACACATACAGACTAACATCACTTACACTCAGAGTGCCGGTGATCGCCCCTCCGGGGCCGTGAGACACCCCCTCGGGGGTGGCATGGCTCCGGGGGGGCGGTCGTCGGTTCACTCATCACACACACACACACATACATCACACTTACGGACACACTCGCACACACTCACACACTAGCAGTAACACACGTACACCGTCACTCACACACCTAACACTAACTACAACTACACAATACACAAATACTTACCTCATTACACTTACCTTTTCCCCTCCCCCGGCCCGTTGGCGTTGCTTCCATCCCTCTCCTTAGAGAGGGTACCGGATGCGGTGCCGATGGGCCGGGGGGGGGCGCGGGCTTCTTGTTCCTGGTGGGCAGCCAGGCTTCCGTACCCTGCGTTTCCCCGTGCGGACCGGAGGACGGGCCTTCCATGGCAGCCGTGCATTTATGTGCGACCGTATGCGAGGCTCAAAATCCGTGAAGGTTACCAGCCTACCTTAACCCTCTGGCTTGCCGATGTGGAGCGGGGTGGCTGGTAGTGAGGGGAACCAGGGAGTTCAACCTACGTATGTGGGGGAGGGAGCTTTCCATCTCGCACTGTGGCCGCGGGGTCGTCGGTGCCCGACTGCAACACACACTGTTCAGTGTGTGGGGTGATCGGGCTCTGGCGGGGCCGTGGCCAGGGTCGCGACTAAGGAACGGTGTACCGGGGAGGAGGGAAGGTCACCGGGGCTATCGGGGAGAGGGGCATATGTGGGGCAACCCATATGTGTCCCCACGAGGCAGTCGTTAGGGCAGGAGGGATACAGTTGCGTGTCTCCTGTCCTTGACGAGGGGTAGTCTGGTGGTTTGCGCGCTGCCGGACATTGCACGCCCCTTGTCCTGTCTGGGGGGGTGAGACTCGGATGTTCCTGAGCCTCCCCCCTAACCCGAGAAGGGACCTGCCCCGTCAGGGCGGGTCTTTTGGAGGCGGTACTGTGGAGTGTGGCTTCGGTCGATCCCACGGCCGTCTTCATTGTGAGGGACATCGGCAGGTTTTAGTGGGTAGGCCCCGGCCGTCTGCCGGGGAGAGCCCCACATCACCCGTGGACCACGCGCTGTGGGAAGCGGGTATGCAATTTCATGCATTTCCTTCCGTGATAAACAACGCACGAGCCGAGCGAGCGAAGCGAGCGTGCCGCGGCAGCGGCCGGCGAAGTGCCAGAAACTAATCGCTTTCGTTGAAATAAACATATTTGGTAAAACATATAATGCTACACAAATGATGTTCCCTAATATGGCCGGGAGCATCATTCAATAACATCAACTTGTTAAATGCGTGATAATAATAAATATTTGCATTTACCTGAATTCTGAAATCGATGTCTCGTCGTGATCGTCGTCGGCGGTAACGGCAGCGGCAGCGGCAGCGGCACCAGTAGAAACATCCCGTTGTTTGTCTCCACGGATATGCTACGGCTACGGTAAATTTTTGTCTACGGAACTACGGCTTGAATTTCGGAATTTAATCGGTCACTGAAAAACAAACAAACAAACAAACAAATAAATCAGATCAAATAAAAAAATAAATAAAAAAAATACATATTCATCCAGAAGAAGAACAAACTAATCTATCTATTCAGAAGATATCAAGTTATTATTTCACTCCATTCGCATATCCTAAAATGACCTGACAATTTTTCACATTAAATACAAAGCGAAACTTCGATTGTTACAAAAAAAATAAATAAATTAATTAATTAATAAGAAACTAACACACATTCTATATTAAGTGCATTCGATGAACACCAGGTATTATTATTTTAGACGATTTATATTATTGTAATAGACGACGGCGGGAACGAGTCACATATTGTATATCTGTCTCTGTCGCGCATCTTCAATCTCTACAATCGCTCCGCTACTACGTCAGTAGCGATTCCGTATATATGTATATAACGGGGTGAAATTTTTGCCAGGCGCTCATTCCGCTCTTCGCACTCGTCGCGCACACATAACGTTCGCTCGCTACGTACGTACACGACTGCGTGTGCGTGCCTATTTTTCTAACTCGTCAGATCAACCCCCTCGGTTTTCGACATGTCCGGCAGAGGTAAAGGAGGCAAAGTCAAGGGGAAGGTCAAGTCTCGCTCCAATCGCGCTGGACTCCAGTTCCCCGTTGGACGTATACACAGATTGTTGCGTAAGGGCAATTACGCTGAGCGTGTCGGTGCCGGTGCACCGGTCTACTTGGCTGCCGTCATGGAATATCTAGCCGCTGAAGTTCTAGAGTTGGCCGGCAACGCCGCTCGCGACAACAAGAAAACTAGGATTATCCCTAGGCATCTCCAACTCGCCATCCGCAACGACGAGGAGTTGAACAAGCTCCTCTCCGGTGTGACTATCGCACAGGGCGGTGTGCTTCCCAATATTCAGGCGGTGCTCCTTCCCAAGAAGACAGAGAAGAAGGCCTAAACTATCGCCTACCGTCGATACCGCTCGGTGTCATCAGTGTGTAGAGTCGCGAAGCGACCGTCACGCATTCGCTACAAAAGGCCCTTTTCAGGGCCACAATATGATTCTATGAGAATATTGAGAAGAATTTCATTTACGGTACGGTGTTTATGTCTTTCAAGGGATTATAAAATAAATAAATAATATTATAGATATAATACATAAACTAGGCAGAAAAGTCGTCTCTACAATTTTCAAAACAATTATTTATTATATGATAAACAGTTTTGTCTTGAGTTATGAACGACTGTTATTTATTATGGCATTACAGTACTTGGAATGATTTGAAATACATCATCATAAAAAATATACGTAAGTTAGTACGATACGAATTGTAATTTTATAATTAAGAAGATACAAACGATAAATACTTATGATAATGTACCACTAACTATATCTTCACCGAATAATAAAATTGATCGTTTAATATAAACAGAATTAACTGTATATATAGATTTTTTTATGTTTGTTTGTTCGTTCGTTCGTTTCTATCTGTGCGAAATTAAGAGACGCGCGGGGGGTGTTTGTTTCGTACGACACAACACACACCAATACGAATAAAGCGCGCGCTTACGTACGACTCACTACGATCCCCACCTCGATTAGCTAGCTGCCAGTAGCTGCCTGGAGGGGACACTACATATAAATGTGAACCGAATCGCGATTGGTCAACAGTCTGTCATCGATCGTGGATAGTTGCGTGCGAACAAAACTAACCATTATAACGGTCAATAAAATTTTTTCGATCATACACGACTCTCTGGCGTCGCGTCCTAGTAGCGTTTAACTGTCTGTCTATCTAACTGATTATTAATATTCACCATGCCCCCTAAGACTAGCGGAAAGGCGGCCAAGAAGTCCGGCAAGGCCCAAAAGAACATCTCTAAGACGGACAAGAAAAAGAAGAAGCACAAGAGGAAGGAGAGCTACGCCATCTATATCTACAAGGTGCTCAAGCAGGTCCACCCAGACACCGGTATATCCAGTAAGGCGATGTCGATCATGAACTCTTTCGTGAACGATATCTTCGAACGTATCGCAGCGGAGGCGTCTCGTCTCGCTCATTACAACAAACGTTCGACAATAACCTCCAGGGAGGTGCAAACCTCTGTGAGATTGTTGCTGCCCGGTGAGCTCGCCAAACACGCCGTCAGCGAGGGCACAAAGGCCGTCACGAAGTACACCAGCTCCAAGTGAGGAGTGCCGTGTCGTCCTCAAAGTGCAGTGCCAGTGCATCGTACGCGTGTTGAAACTACTAAAAGGCCCTTTTCAGGGCCACAAATCGCTATCCGTATACAGTGAGATATTTTCATGGGGAGAGTGGTGCGTCTATCTATATATATATCTTTTAGAGTCTAATCTATCTAGTCGACACTTTCGATCGGCTCTGATGGATAATATATGTTAGTTATTAATAAATAAATAAATAAATAAATACATACACACATACATACATACATACATACATACATACATACATCCATCCATCCATCCATCCATCTATCTATCTATCCATATGTACGTTACTTTCGTTCGTTAAGTTCATCCATATGTTAATTACATATAATAATGTGATTTAACGTCGTCATTTGATATGACAGTTAATTGTCGAGGAATAGAAATCTTTTTAAGAGGACATACGTACGTACTATTACTATTTTGTCTATTGTAGGTCACGTGACCAGGTTAGAAATTTTATTTTATTTCACTTCATTTCACATTTCATTTCATTCCAAAACGATAGACGACGAAAAAAAAAAAAAAAAAAAAAACCTCATTCATAAATATCATTATCCCCAGTACCCGACACTCGACCACTCACCACTCACCAATTTTCTTAATGAAGTGATCAGTGATCTCTTTTCTTTCATTATTTTTATATTATTTCTAAAACTATTTTTCTTTTTCTCCTTTTTTTTTTTTTCTGTTTTTTTTTTTTCCCCAACCACGTTCATTTATATACTGCCCGTTTCGACTAAATCGAAAAATTTTCAACGGAGACACGAGAGTGGGGATCGCGGCGTAGAGCGAACGAAGGAGGGAGGGGGTGAGACGAGGTACGGTATACTCGTGCATATATATAAGAGAGCAAAGTCGCGGAGCGTTTCATTCGATTCGATTCTATTATCTGCACTGCACTGCATCTGAACTGACTACCGACTAAAATGGCGCGTACTAAACAGACTGCCCGTAAGTCCACCGGTGGTAAGGCACCACGCAAACAGTTGGCCACGAAAGCGGCACGCAAGAGCGCACCGGCTACAGGCGGTGTTAAAAAACCCCATCGTTACAGGCCCGGCACCGTGGCTCTTCGTGAGATTCGTCGTTACCAGAAGAGCACAGAACTCTTGATCCGCAAGTTGCCGTTCCAACGTCTAGTACGTGAGATCGCGCAAGATTTCAAAACCGATCTACGTTTCCAGAGTTCCGCCGTCATGGCGCTCCAGGAGGCGAGCGAGGCCTATCTGGTCGGTCTCTTCGAGGACACTAACCTGTGCGCCATCCACGCTAAACGTGTGACCATTATGCCCAAGGATATTCAGCTGGCGCGCAGGATTAGAGGAGAACGCGCTTAAGTTATCCGCACGCGCCCGTCCGTATGCGTGTACATTATGTGTACGTTTACGTGTCTCTCTCTGCCGGTCTCGACGGTTACAAAAAGGCCCTTTTCAGGGCCGCAAAGTATTCTTATGTAGTATTTTTATATACGAATATTTCATTATGGTACAGAAAATTTTAAGTCTAAATGATAAATGATAAAACTCTAAACTAATACATCGCATTAATACCTACCTGTTTGTACATATTATATATGTGCCATAATGTGTATACCTACCTACTTACCTTAATGAAGTTTGTTTATTCAGAATGAGAATGCACGACGTTTCACGCAATCAGATAAAATTAAATAAATAAAGACAATAATTACAAAATAATTCCCAAAAATAAAACACTATCTAATGAACATAATTAACAACGTATATATAATAATTATAATTGATCTATTATTTATTTATTTATTTATTTATTTATTTATTTATTTATTCATTCATTCAATTAATTAATTATTATTTAGTGAATACGTTTCATTTTATACATTTTTTTTTTTTTTTTTTTGTTAATTTCCCTTTTTTTTTTTATCATTATTATTATTATTTTTTATTATTATTAATCTCTCTTTTTAGTATGTATAGAAAATACATATATTAATACCTCTCCGGTCCTTTCTCCCCACCCGGTGCCTCATGATGAATTATAATAGGTAATACCCCCGCGCACCCGTCTACCCTCCGGCGACGTGCGGCATTCAGCTCTCGTTGCGTGCACACGTGCGCGCAGCTCGATCCTCTCTGCCGTCGATGCGATCTTCTATGCTTTTCGTATGCTTATGCTTTTTCGTATGCTAAAATAACTACTCTGTTATTATTATTACTTAATATTTATCAGTACTATTACAATTGAAGTAATTTATTATATTGACATCCTAATAATAAATTGTTTCACACATTTGAGTTGGTGGATACCCCACGGTGCCAACGAAGCCAACTGAGCGATCCCGGTGCGCTCGCTAAGGCCCTTCAGGCTTTAGTAACACCGAAGACCCGATCCCAGTGCACTTGGGCCTAGTCCCAAGGGTGACGGTTGCCGCTACTTTCCAATAGGGATAGCCGCATTTTCTCTCCCCCCCCCCCTACCCCTCGCCTGGCGAGGGGAAGGTTCTAGGTCTCTAACACATACCTACACTCTCACAACACTTCTTCATCACCCAAATAGACGCGACAAAAGTGTCGCATTCTTATTTTATTAATATTTCTCCCCCGCACGACATAAATATGTCCAAAACGTTCACAATCGATGACTTGCGCCGGCACATGCCCGCAGATGTCGTTGAAGGATTTCTAAAATCCTTCAAACCTCAGGACTCCCCAGCGTCTCCATCTCCAAATCTCGGCCCAGCGCCGCCATCTCCCGCATATCCAGCAATGGAATGCGACATTCCCTCCACCAAGAGGACTGCTTCTCAGCGGTCCCCCCTTCGATCTCCGTTCCTGTCGGACGAAGACTTTTCCAGGTCTTCGGACACAGAGAACACCATCACTGATTTTCAAACAGTCACCAACCGACGAAAGCGTCGTAAGCCTCGCTCTCCAAAAGCGAGTGCTTCAATTTCATCTGGCGACGAAATGCCCCCCCCGCCCCTCATGTCGATCCAATTCGACGGGGTACCCTCGGTAGGCAATACCGTACAGAGAGCCTCTGCGTCATCATCACGCAATGCTACCCCGCCCCCCGCCCGCCCGCATAATACTTGCGACCCAAAGCCGGTCAAAACTAAATTACCGCCTCCCGTCTTCGTACGGGATAAACTAAGATGGACAGAGGTTTCTAGCCTTTGTTCGTCTAACAAAATCAATTACACCCATGCTAAAAACATGGGTATAGCCATCCGGGTGGAAACACCCACTAGCGAGGACTTTAGAGCCCTCACTAGACTCTTAACCCACCACAAGGTGGGTTACCATACCTACGCCCTCCCTGAGGAGCGCAAAGTTCGTGTGGTACTGCGGAATGTACCATACGAACTCCCCACAGAAGAGATCCAAAAGGATCTCACAAATCAAGGATTCCCCGTTGAATCCGTGCACAAGATGCATAACCGAGCCGGGAGGCCCTACCCCCTGGCCCTAGTAATCCTACAGAACGTCCCCACAGCGAGGGACATCTTTAAAACCAAAGACCTTAAGGTCTGCGGTCTCTCCGGCGTCAAAGCCGAACCGCCGCACAGACGCGGTACCCCTGGGCAGTGCCACCGCTGCCAACTCTATGGCCATGCAGCGGCCAACTGCTCCGCGACTCCGAGGTGCGTTAAGTGCCTCGAATCGCATGCCACCAAGGAGTGCACCCGTACCCGGGACACTCCAACACCACCTGCCTGCGTGCTGTGCGGCCAAGTCGGCCACACAGCTAATTACAAAGGGTGCCCTAGAGCACCTAAGCCTAAACCCTCCTCCAGAAGGAAGGGCCAAGACCTGGTGCCCAAAAAGGCACCCTCAGCTCCTCCTCCGCCCTCGGCGGAACACTTTCCCGCCCTTCCACGGGCGAAATCAATTCCCCCCACCCCCGCGCCTAGACCGGCGTGGGGGCCCCCCCCGCAACCCCCGCGAACAATACCCCCACCAACGACTTCAATGCCCCCTCCAAGGGCCCATCCCCCTCACCCCGCACCCGGCTTCACTCCATCATCACTAGCTGATGACATGAATCTGGTGTTTACCACGATTCGTGGAGTAAATCTTGATGAGATCTCCATCCTGGCGGCTAAAATCCGCCGTGCCTCGTCCGCGCACGAACGCCTCTTAGCGCTCTGCGAGCATGAAGCACTCTTACGTACACTAACATGAGTACAAACAACGACACACAAAACACCTCGAATACGGTGATTATGACCTCCTCCGGGCGTGTTAAACCTACAGGCGTATCAATTCTTTCATGGAATGCTAACTCCCTCCGTACGAAAACAACTGAACTTAAACAGCTTGTACACGACAGAGACACAGACATCATACTGATACAGGAAACAAAACTCAAGCCTGCCATCCGCGGCGGACTTGCGATCCAATCTTACGCCCTTTTGCGTAATGATAAACACATCCCTCCCGGTAGGCCCGTCTGCGGCGGTACTGCAATTTACTATAAGAGAGCGCTCCACTGCTCCCCGCTCCCCACACCCCCTCTTGCTACTATGCAAGCCACCGTATGCAGACTGTCTATGACGGGTCACCGTACACTCATTATAGCCTCAGTTTACATAGAATCCGGCCTACTACCCGTCCAAAGTGACTTTGAGGCCCTCCTAGCCTTAGGAGACTCAATAGTACTCTTTGGAGACTTCAATTCGAAACACACCGACTGGTCATGCCTCAAAACCAACACGGGCGGCAGAGTATTGAAAAACATACTTGAAGCCCTCGAACTAGACATCATAACTCCGTACTCACCCACTCATTACCCTTATGCCGTCGACTACGACCCCGACATATTAGACTTCGTACTAATGAAAGGGGTCTCTCTTCGACTTAATTCTATCGACTCGCTCGATGACTTAGGGTCCGACCACCGACCGGTATCGCTCATCCTGGGTAACCCAAACACCCCCCGTCCCTCCACAAAGAAGGTCACTAATTGGGACGGTTACAAATCGTCACTCTCAGCGGCCATGGACACACCGAATTCACCGCAAGCTACTGGACCCGACTATTTCGATAGTACGGCGAAAATAGATAGTGCGGTGGACAATCTCACCCACACGATCCAAAAAGCCCTAGCAGATAACGCGAGGGAGGTCCCTGTGAAATATCACAGTGACATTCCTCCGGATCTGCGGACTCTCAGAAGGGCCAAAAATGCAGCTCTCCGAAGAGCAGCCAAATATCCCACCCCGGAATACAGAGCCGTAGCAAACCGACTTCAACGTAAATACACCACTGAACTCAAAGAGTTCAGAGACAATAGCTTTGCCGACTTAATGACAAACATCACTCCCTCACACTTGGCATACTACAGGGTTGCCAGAGCCTTGCGTGCAGATGCAATCACTCACACCCCCCCTCTTCTTCGCCCCGACGGCTCCACAGCCTTCGAGGATGATGAAAAGGCGGAATGCTTCGCAGACAGCGTAGCCGCGCAATGCTCCATTAGCACCCAAGAGTGTGACCAAGCCCACATCCGGATGGTGGAGGAGGAGCTATCAGTAATGTACTCCCTTCCTCTACCAACACCGTCTGACCCTCCCTCTCAAAATGAAAACACTCTTTCACCAGTCACCTCAGATGAAATAGATGATCATATTAAAAACCTTAAACGAAAAAAGTCCCCGGGTGCCGATGGCATATCAAACATGGCGCTCAAATTCCTTCCATCAGAAGTAATCACCCTCATTGTACTAATTTTCAATGCCTGTTTCGATCTATGCTACTTTCCAACCGCGTGGAAGGATGCAATCGTAATAGGCATTCCAAAACCAGGTAAACCACACAACCTTCCATCTAATCACCGCCCCATCAGCCTCCTCAAGGCCTTAGGGAAACTTCTAGAAAGATGCATTCTCTCCCGCATGAGAGACCACCTATTCGATCCCGAACAAGACTTAATGATCCCCCATCAATTCGGCTTCAGACCCAAACACTCCTGTCCTCAACAGGTTCACCGCATTGTCGAGTTTATCTCCACCGGTTTCTTTCCGCGTAAACAGAAAACAGTAGCAGTATTCTTTGATGTCGCCAAAGCCTTCGATAAGGTCTGGCACTCGGGCCTCATTGTTAAACTACACAGATTAAAGCTTTCACTACGGCTAGTACGCCTAATAGCATCCTTCCTCGAACACCGCACATTTCGATTCAGATATGAAAGTACCCTCTCCTCCCCCCGCACCATCACCGCGGGGGTCCCTCAAGGTTCAGTACTTGCACCTCTCCTGTACATAGTATACACTAACGATATACCAGTTCCTACTAATGGAGTACAACTCTCCCTCTTCGCAGACGATACGGCTCTGTATCACCGAGGAAACGGCATA